TTTGAGCAAATAAAGATCAAACATGGGGTTCCTCAAGGCTGTCTACTTGACTCACTTCTGTTTGGTTTCTACAAGAACTGAATAGCTCAGATTGGACAGCATTACACCATGCTGGTACAGTTATTAATTCATTCAATTCAGTCTACTCATCTTGCGCCAATTCACAAACAATGTCATCTTGAGGCACTTTACAAAAAATAGATGATTCAAGTTGTGCCTCAAATTCAGTGTAATTATTTTAATGTATTTTTACTTATAATAATGTTTTTGCTTGTGTTATACAAATGAAACCAGCCATGTCTATGTGCACCATAAGCCAGTGCCAGCAGGCAATTTATAAAGTATGAGAAAAAGGAAATCTCAAATTCAATCTTACACAACTTAAATGGCAACAAAAATACAAAAACGTCTTATAGATTTGAGCAGAATGTCACAGAAAGTGCCAAAGTCTGGTGAAATCCACCGTTACCATATCATTTTAAATAGCAGCATTTCTGCTCTAAATATAGCATTTAGACCATGTAATATAGGTGTGTCCAAAGTCGGTCCTCGAGGGCCGACATCCTGCATGTTTTAGTTCTCTCCCTGGGGATAGTAACAACCTTTTCAGCTTGTCAATGTTCCTTTTAGGCCTCTAATGAGCCATCATTTGATCCAGGTGTGTTAAACCAGGGAGAGAACTAAAACATGCAGGATGTCGGCCCTTGAGGACCGACTTTGGACACCCCTGATGTAATACAATAGGACAGTAGAGTTGACTATTTTTACTGGAGGTTATACGGTGGAAACAAAGCGGCCTGTGTTTGGATTCAGACAGTGACAGGCTGCTGTTCAATATTCAACATGGACATCCAACCAATCAGATTCTCCCAGGTTTCTGCAGAGTCAGCTGTTCGATCAGTTCCAATCAATTCCACCCCTCTTCACACATCTGTGTTCTCGAACAAATTAAAGCACAAACACACACATGCGTACAGGATCTTTCCATCTTCACCGGGACATGGCATTGACGTCCATTCATTTCTATAGCCTAACCCTAAGCTAACCCTAAGCCAAAGCAGCATCAGGAGCTAAACAGTCGGTCCCCACAACACGGTAGTTGTTAGAAAAATGGTCCTTACACTGTATCAAATACAAAGCCAAACTCACACACACACAAAAATATCCACTCAGAGGCGTCTTGTTGAGCAGCTTTTGATGAGGATGGCTGCCATGGAAACCAGCCAGGAAGCTGTGAGTGCTGCGCCGATCGTACATCTTGCAGTAGATAGTCGCCAAGGAGACGCAGGAGCTCACGTGACGACAACAGTCAGTGTGAGGTTTCTTTTCTGACTGCCGCTTGTGTGTTTACTGGTGACATGACAGACGGCTGCTGAAGTAGGTCAATAGAACATGAGAGCTACTGACACAGCGATGGGTCCAAACCAGGCTTCACTGGCAATCAGTCATTATATAACTGGTGCAGCTTAATTGCAAATAGAGGCTTAGGGCCAAAACTCCAACATAATAGAAATAAAAACTCAAAACAAGGATGCATTTTAAGTGCATTTGCATTCGTAGGTTTAATAAAGTGATGAAGTTATTATAGTTTGATGAAAGGATAGAAAAGTCACAACCAGTGTTTAAGCTGAATGGTTGTTTTATAAAATCGTGAAACACTAATACAGACATGCTGCAGTGTGGCGTCACACGCGCAAGATCCGACCAGCCAGCTTCCTGTTGGAGGGGGGGAAAAAAACTACTCACCAATGATGACTGGTTTTAGCTAACAAGATATCAACCTGACACGCTGAATCTTAAATGTACAATGGAAAGATATGACATAGAGAAGAAATATAGACAAATAGCAGGGTTTTGCTACTAATTGTCAACATTACAACAACACCCGAAGAAGTTTTAGTGAAAAATTTTAGTGAAGGAGAGGAGGATGCTAGCTTGACTTTGACAACCTTAACATGTAGATGTGCTGCAGAATTTGTTGTGTTGTTGTCCAGTTAGGACAAAAAGGTGACCTATAAACCTGCTCTGACAGATCAAAGTAGAGCAAATGTTTAAATTAGCTAGTCTAGTAGTTTCCACAGCAGTATCTAATATACCACAGCAATCACTTATCAATAATTGTATTGACAATCAAACAATAAATATCAAGCCTGAAAACTTAAAACTAAAAAATAGAACAATAACCCTGACAATACAAACAGTTTTAGTTTTGAAATATCAATAATTGGATATTTTTTTCTGACAACGATCAAAATCAAAATCTTATAAGAAATTTATCACGATAAATGATAAACGATACGATAAGCGTCCGCCCCTGTAAACAGTACTATTTGCTTTGTGACACAGACAGTAATAGAGAAGAGAGTGTTCATGAATGATTTGCCAAAAATAGATAATAGAACGCAGCGCAGTGTCTTCAATTGTTAGATTACTACGGCTTTAATTGAACGGTACGGTGGTGGACATTTGAACAATTTTCCAGATAATGCTTTGTAAGTGTATTTGCACGCTATTGTGTCCACACCTTCAGGACAAAAGCTCAAAGTCCACCTGCACTTATGATTGAAACACATCCTCCATTTCCTCTAGGAGAGCTGCAAGCCGCACTACTCGGCTTTACAACCTGAATATCAGAGTATATGGCAGCGAAGGCTAATTTAATCAGGTGGAGGAGCTCAGCTGTGCCAGGGAAAGTGGTGCACCCACCCAAACGAGATATAAGGCAGAGAACAGAAAGAACAAAGGAAAATGGTATCTCTTTGTTTGCCTTTCATTTACTTAAAGAATTACGAAACTACATTACAGAAATCCCTCAGGCAAAGATTAGCTTCTCTGGTCGCTAATGGTGGAGAAGAGAGGAAGGCTGTCCTGCTGGCTGAAACAATATGGTTTGGTTTTTAAACACTCCTGTCCCTAATAGTCAGGATAATGTAGCCCAGGGTGCGACTGAAAAATTATCAAGAGAAAGTGCCTGCAAACTTTTAGCCAACTTCAACAAGAATTGTAGCACATAAAGCTAAGGGAGTAACTCTGTGCCAAGCAAAATAACCAGGATCTGATGAAGCCCAATCGAATATAATCTGTAGAGATTATAGGTCACAATTATATTAGCAAAATTTGAAGGTCTTCCATACTAATCCATGTTCAGTTTAACTGACCCTGAACGGTGACCGACTGGTCAGAAATTTGGAAATCTGATCTTTTTCAAACCAGTGAAAGCAACATGCTAATTTAGACTCTTCAGTGTGGATGGTGTTACAGAGGGAAGAACACAGAGCTAGCTGTTGTCAGCATCTTACCAAGTATTTTTGGTCCAGTTTCTAGTGAAAATACCACGGTAAAAACAAAGCTAGCTTAAGCTGAAAAGCTTCAAGTAGCTCCTATATCTTTTCATCAAGATACAGAAGATAGTTGTAAGTAAATAATTTCTTAATATTGATAGGAAGTGCTGGTTCCACTGGCAGATTATGTCACTTCTAACAAGACATTTTCCCCATGTTATAAGTTAAGTACTCTGCTTTCTCATCAATATGAAGGATTTATTGACTTAAAACAGGCTCTTGTAGCTTGCTGAAAAGTTAGTTTTGCCTTATTTCAAGCACACTAAAAATATCTGCTCTAAAAACTGGACCAAAAGTTTTAATGGTAGCCATGCTAAGTGTGCTAACCGCTAGCTTAAAGACAGCTTAAAATGTCAACTCTGTAATTATAGCTAAATCCTGTTTTTCATTGACTTCTCTCCCACACTGCAATGTGACTTTACTTGTGCTCTTAACATAAAAAGTTAATGATCCACTACTACCCCTAAAACTGGTTTAGGGTTATCAAATCTTCACACAAAACCTGATTGTTATAAACACAACATCTCAGGTCTGTGAGACTGCAAGAATGCAGCTGACTATCCATCGTTTAGGAAAGAAATGGACGCATCATTCTGGTATTTTAAAGAAAAAAGGCCGAGCTCACGCTTTGTTGGAATACAGATATTATAAACTGTTGCATTTACAAACTGAGTTTCATGCCTCACATCTGATAATACAGAAAACAGACTTTTTTGTTCACAATGGAAACAAAAGAAAGCGATTAGCTCTATACCAGACAATTCTGACAAAAAAATATGAAACTTACACTAAAAAACACATGAAGATTTAGTTTAGAGACTGGATTGGGTCTAAAATATACACCCTGATAAAAGCTGTGGACGGACATGGTGTCCAATCATGATCCAACATAACTAATTGAGTCTAATTAACTACTCTTTGAGCTTCCTGCTCTTCTGTTTAGACTAGATAAGTAGATGAACACAAGTTTTATGGTGCGTTCTTATAATATTAGCCAACAATACAACCAGCACAGAGAAGATGATTCTTTGTGCTGGTTGTATTGTAGGCTTATTAAAAACGCGCCACAGACGCCTGAGCCCGACTCGACCATCATACATGTCATTTCGATTTGGGTCATAAATCTATACTCTAATTCAGCTCGCCTGCTCACTGCAGTCACCGACTATTGAATCACACAAAAAGAAACAACCATGTTCAATAAACTGAAATATACGAGTCTCATTCATCAGAATAAACAAACCTTTGGAAAATAACTTTTCAAACATTCTAACTAAGCCCACATTTCTGTTTTTAAACTGTTTTTTTTTCTGATCTGATGTAATATTCTAATTTGAAATGTCATGTTTTCATTAAGCAAGCAGAAAGTCATCATAATTACCATTAATAAAGGATTTCAAACATCAGTCTGTGTGTAATTACTCTAGAATTTGTGTTTCACTTAGTGATAAAGTTCCTGAAATAAATGGACTTTTCAATAAGAGTGATGAAATTTATTGAATGGGTCTGTAAATCCTGGATAATCTCTCAGGATATCTGCAGCTTTAAGTGGAAACCATCAGCAGAAATGGGGAAGATGAAGAGAAAAACATCTCAGGAACATGTTAATGTTTCATCAGAAAGAAAAAGTGAGGCAGTTAATGAAACTGAGGGACTCACGTTGACATAATGCACCAGGTGTTCCTGCTCGTTGACTTTGTAGGTCTTAATGCCGTATTCTTTAGCCAACCGTAGGATGCGGTTCTGAGTCGGTCCGATGTAGGCCCCACCGAGGTCTACCCACTTTGTCTCCTTGTTCTGGAAGCAACAGAGGGAAACAGATCAAGTGCCAAAAAGAGGTCAGAGTTATGTTGTATAAAACAGGGCTTAGTCTGCAATATAAGCAAAACATATGTAACGATTATTTCATGAGATCAAACAGAACAAAATACTGTAAGCACCAGAACAAAACAAGAGTTCAACATTTTCAGAAAATATGAGTCCATGCTTTCGTTTGTAGAAAAAGTCCATTGAAAGTGTCAACTTTGAATTAAGTGTCATTATTTACTGAATGAGTCTTCATGACAGTCGTAAACATTCATGAAGACTGCTTCATGTTTATATGTGTCGTGTCAGTCTTATGCACACCGCTTCAAATAAACTGGAACCAAAAATTCTTTCCCTGTCTTTTCACAAATAGAATGAATGTTCAGGTAAAAGAAATTTGACTCTGTGTTTTAATGCCTTGAAATTGGGCCTCTGTCTCTTTAAGAAGCTCCTGCTCTTTCTGAAACTCCGCCTACAGGAAGTCATGACAACGTGGCTCCTCTATTAACCCTTAAACAACATTTATACCAGCGTTGCTCTGAGAATTAGTTAGTATAATGAGCTCAGCAAACGCGCAGTTCCACCAGGTGTTTGCTAATTGCTGCTGGCTAGTCTGAAGGAGCTGGGTGGGGGAGTTTTAGGTGAGGGCTGCTCTGTGAGGTGGATCTCAGTAGCTGGGAAACTGCAAGAGGTGAGGCTAGGTCCATCCAGGTGTTCTGTACAGCTGAATGGTTGCCATGGGAGATTAAAGGATTCTTCAAACATTTGTGGAAAAACAATCAAGGCCACACTCCTTGCCTTGTACATGTAATTACATGTACATCATACATGTACATTGATGAATACATTGATTATAGAACATTATAATAACAGGAATAACATTATAACATGACATGAAGCTCAAAAAAGTCAATTTTACATAACACCGCCCCTTTAAGGCTTTATTTCAGAAGCACATTCCTGCTGTACCAAACAGCTGAACATGTCAGTCGTACCCGGACAGTAAAGGTACGGCCGCCGACTCGATCCCTGGCCTCCAGCACTACAGGATTCAGCCCGCTCGCTTTTAGCAGCTTTGCAGCGCTCAAACCTGAAAAACACACGAAGGAGAGAGATGTAAGTGGTTAAAATATGTTCATTTGTATGTTTTTTAAAATTTTTTTCTTTACTTTTGATAACCACAGATGAGTGTAGAGAGTTGAAAACAAACACCGCCGCAGGGCTCGGGATACTTCTTAGCAATAAATCACAAGGCAGCTAATGTGCTGATCATGTGAGACACACAGACCAGCGCAAACGACTCGGCTTCACTTTCAGTCATGGACTGTCTGACCCGGTGCTGGTGTTGGGAGACAGATCTCTGGTTAGCAAAGCCTCAGTGTTAGACAGAGAATCCTAGGTGCACAAATGAGCGTTAATGCAGATCCTTCCTCCCAGTAGCCATTAGACTTTACAACCATCACTGCTTTTTCAATATTATTGACTTAAAACAAGCTCATATTTCTTGCTGAAAATTTACTTGTATGTTAGTTTTGTCTCATTTCAAATGTACCATATCTGTACTAGAAACTAGACCAAAGATACTTTGGTAAGATTTTGCTGTGATCTCAATTGAAAACTTTATTTTTCCTGCAAGCACTCTGTTGACAACAATATTAAATGGCCTTGATCATTTTATTGTGTCTTACTTTCAGTACAGCAAGGAAATAAAACATCTTCCTTCTAAAATTCGAACGAGTTTTTGGTCCAGACACACACAGGGCAGCTCACAAACTATCCCACCGCTCCTCTCTCACCAGGTTACCACATCTGTGTAAATATTTTCCTGTCCTCTGGCCTAAATTCCCTTCTTTCCTCAACATCTTCGCTAACCCCCACCTCTTCCCACAACTTGCTCCTCCTGAGTCCCACTAAGCCTGTTGAGACCAGCGGGGTTTAAACCAGTTTAAGTCCAGTTTGTAGTGTTTTATCCGGCCTCAGCCCTGCCTGCCTGCCTATCTGTCTGAACTCCCCCCGTTGAGCCAAGCTTATGAGAGAGCATCAGGCCGGACCAGAGACGGCTCACAAATCTTCTGCTGTTAAATTGATGCTATTACCTGAGCGCGGCTCAAAAGGGCAGCATCTGTCCTTGAAAACAAAGAGGCTCTGTCTGCATCTCTTGTTTATGCCTACAGCTATCACTGCTAAAACCCAACGTCCTGTTGGGATAATGCTCAGATCCCAGAGATGGTTTTCCATTAGCGAGGCGTCCTCTTATTTTTTCCTTTTTAGTTGATAAAGAGCAATATAAATATGATTTATTCTTATATATAAGAATAAATCACTACTTTAACTGAACTAGGATGAAAGCTTTTTATGTTCAACTCCATTACTGAATGAACAGACAATAGAAAAGCATAGAAATATATTTTATCATGAAATTTAAGATTAAATGAACATATTAGTAGAATCCATAAGGAATTTGTCATTTTTCTATTTAAAAACAGAAAAGTGATCTAATAAACATCTCTAAACCTGTGTTGTACATACATGGTCTGTCTATAACTTCAGTCAATGTCTCACTCAATAAGGTCATATGTAAGAATGTAAAGCTTGCTAGGATTTTTGTTTTTGACCGTTTCCTTAGCAACCTCTCTAAATCTAACTGGTTGTATAAACCAGCTTTAACCTGCTCCTGTGGTGAATATCTGAGTTAAAACCGGAAGTGTCCATGTTTTGAACTCCCCAGGGACTGCAGCGATCCGTTAGCGTGGAAATCACCTTCCTAACCAATTCCGCTAGATTCTCATTTCTTCTCACGACTCAGTCTGGGTTTTCTCCCATTGACTTGGATTCCTCCAGCAGAATTTCAACCAGGCCAATCAGCAAACAGATGGAGAAGTTGTAAACATTGATTCTCTGCAGTTTAGAATTTTATTCTAGCTACCTAGCTAGTTACAGCAGGTTTAGCTAGTTTCAACGAAGCTGTTCAGTTTGTCTTGGCTATGCTTCCAAACACTGAATTAGGATTAACAGCTGCCTCGTTCACCTCAACACTTCTCTATTTGCAGTGGAGAACGACTGTTCTTAAAAATATCCAAAGGTGAGCCTCCAGTTAACTGAAATGTGTCAGTTAGCCTATCAGAGGCTTCCAAAGCCTCTTTGTTTTCCAAGAGAAAACATTAAATAAATCTGACAATTTCTTTCTCTTGTTATTGTGGGATTTAGCAACTGAAACAAGAGAAGTTTGGCCTGATGTACCTTCAGAAGGAGAAAAAAGGTGTTTGTGTTTATTCAGTATATGTAAACTTCTGGTTTCAACTTGGTTGATGTGAAACGTGAATCATATCTGATCAATTCAACGTGAAGTTCATATCAGCATACGGAGCTGGGAATAAAAAAACAACCCATGAAAGTCAGGACTTTCATGCTTCTAGCAAGGGAGAGAGGTAATAACCATGAAATGAGAAACAGGAAGAGCCTGATGGATGGTACATGATGATGTATCGCTTTCTGTTACTCACTGGGTACACTAATCGGTCATACTTTATGGTTTTTGTTTTATTTTTGGACAGAAAAGGCAGCTAATGTGTGTCTGTTTTCAAGTTTGCGTAGGATCTGTCGTTTGTTTATAGTGAATTCCTAAACGGACAGAAAAGGTCAGCCTGTCGATGGTGGAGACTGTGAGGAGAGGGAAAGCAGTCCTCTCTCTCTCCCTCCCTCCCTCCAAGCCCTGCTGTTCCAGGCTCTCTGCACCTCGGGACATGATGGATGATATAAAGATGTAGACGCTGACATTCATCAAACAGATGCAGATTCCTTGAAACGCAGAGCCGAGGCTGCATACTTAAGAAGGATAAGTGGTGTGTCCGTCACGCTGAACCACATTCCCGCTTTGGAGTAACAACTTTGAACTGAGATTAAGTGTGACACCAGTCCTATTTAGTCAGACTTAATCCAACTCATTTGCCTTAGAAAGTTCGGTCCACTCGAGAGGAGCAAACGCGCAATCGAACTCTGATGCGGACCAAAAAAAGCGGACTCTGGTCCGTCTGAAAACCCACGTCTCTGTTCGGGTGAAGTGAACTCTGGCAAGGTTCGAAAGCGTTTGTGTACGTCAAGCACTGTTCCAAAAGCAGGGCATTCTGGGTAAACACAACCAAAACAAACGCGAGAGTCTAACACTAGCGGGTGAAATGGCTCGTGGTCTTTTACAAAGACAAAATCCTACCACTAAAATCTGACACCGCTCCATTTTCGTCCACATTTTTCAAAGACTCGTCATACTCACACAGGCTAGTGTGAATATGACGAGTCAAACTATATAAAACAATATCCTCATGAGTGGACGTACAGTTCTTACAGTCGGAGGTGATTTAGTTCAGTTTAACGGTTATTTACACAAAGAATCTCCCTGCCAAAGACGTTTCTGTTAGAGCTCGTGTAAACACAAGCATTCCTGCAGGACTTGTTGTTTATCTGAGCCTGTTGGATCTTCTCCCGGCTCGGTCTGTGATCATGTGACTATTCCAGCCCTACTGTCCTTGAAGGGCCATTTCCTGTGCGTGGTGTTATCTCCTTGGTGCTGCTCACTCGTCTCTTCGCTCTCACAGCTTCTGTCCCCCCAGGGCGTCTAAATCACATCAGCTTTCTTCAGGGACAGAAAACGTGAGGCGACCCGGAACCTTCTGGTCTGGCTTTTATCACGAGTGTGCAAACTGTACGCAGTTACACCTGCAGACCGGTTCAGGAGTGCAAAACGTGTGCATTAAAAGCAGAATTGGGGTCATCTCAGTACGTCTCAATACCAAAGTTTCAAACCCAGTGAAGGCAGGTTTTGATACAGGAACACAGTAGAATGTGTAAAATATGTCTAAGCTGCTCTAATTTTTCACTGATGGCTCTGATTCTACTAAACAAAATTTGAGAGAGCACCAATAGAAATTTATAGTCAGTAACAAAAAGGCAAAGTTGGCATCAATGGGAAAGTTCCAAACTCAAACACAGCACAAAGCTCCATTTCAATTAGACAACATCACATATTAATGTGAAATTGGGAATTTTTTGTAGACAAAAATCAAACTTCATGAAAGACGTGCACCTTTTAGACCTCCAGTTTTTTGTCCTAAAATGTAATTTTTTATTGTTTTTTTTTTTTGTTACATGGTCGTTGATGTTACTAATTAAACCGGACCGCAGTCAGACTTCAGTGTGAACGGCGACCCACATGCACAGATGAAGAACGACGACGTCAAGCAGCAGCAAACAGTTTTATAGACGTAATAATGGATGGAGCCGTTTACGTTTTGATCTTAAGTTTATTCAGCGATGAATCATCACAAGATCATAAGACGAAGGAAACAACAACAAAAAACAAAGCACAGCTAGCAGCGACGGTCTTTTGTGGAGCGTTGACTGTAAGCTGTCTGGATGTGCAGTCAGAGCTCAGAGTGGTGGGACTGGGATGTGATGCGCTTCACTGATGCACTTCTTTTATAAGTACATAATCAGAATTTTCAGACATTGGATTCACCGCGTCTGGCTTCTTCTGATGCAGGATTATGACGCATGTCACACGACAATTACATAGAAGCCAGGTTGGTTTGGATAACTCATCATTTGTGAACTGGAATACGGATTTACATGGGTTATATATATCTAATAGGTTGGTGATATGAGACGTTTAAAGGTGATTAAAAAAAAGTAAAAAGCAATAAGTAAAGTGGCTTCTAAAGCAGGCCACAGTGTTTTATACAACTGTCAGCATGTTGTCTTCCAGCTCTGTGGAGCTAAAAATCAAACTAGTGTCTCTCTGGTTAAAGACGTCTGCATGTTCCCTCCTTAATGCGAGCCTGTCTCGTCTGGATCAGGGTGTTATTTACACGCAGGCACAAACAAGAGAGATCCAACAGGGGCTGACTGACAAGCCTGCCACTCGAATCGGGCCCCCGACAGGCTCCGTATCGATCTACGCTGGGGGAGGCATTTACAAAGCGCAGAGCAATCACATTAGGTCCATCTCGTGTTCCCCAGCAGCAGACGCTTTCCGCAGCCGTCTAACAGCAGCGAAATGAGGCGAAACACCGTCAGTCACCAAGAAACCAAACAGAC